GAAGGAACAACAATAAAAAACAAGTTGTTCTGTACGGAAGGGCTCATCTTACCTGGCTCCATAGCTGTGGTGCAACACATAACCCTCGCCATAAATGCAACACCTCCTCCTGCTGCTGTCACATATTGCTCACGTCAGACTTGAGTGAGACAAACCACCCTTCTGTCCCACTTAACCGCTCTGGCTAACGAGGGAAATCAATCATGCTGCCCTGGGGCTGGCCATCCATCTCAGGCCCTTCCCTGGTGGCACTGGAAGAGCCAGGGTAAGCCTGCCCAACACTCTCCTACTTGCAGGAGAAGGGCTCAGGTTGTAGGGAATTGCCACGCTGCAATTAAAAGTTAATATTTCAACAGTGCTGGATGCTTTGCTGTTGCTCTCTTGGTATTAATAATCTTCCCTTAGCTGGGAGGTATTTGTGCTAGATCTGCCTGCTTCTAGCTGAAGGAAAACCCATTACAAGACCTCCTTGAGTCCTGTGTAGTGGGCACTTCTCTTTTTTAGCAGAAATTTTTGGCTCAGAAAAGCCCCAGCAACCCAGAAGTGTAAAATTACAAACGAAGTGTGTTGTGTCGGAGGATTCTGGCCATTTGCTTAATTTTTATCACCCAATTTCTGCAAATGCCCCGTGGAGGTGCTTGAAAAGAACATATTTCCCCTCCTCTTTTCCTGCTAGTTTTGTCATTCTGACAAATGGTTGATGTGTTGGTTGTGTTTCTAACGCTGCTGGAAACGCTCGTGGCTTTCATGGTCTGGAGCCAGCACTGCGATTTCCACAAAGAAATGAGAGGGAGAGGCTATGGATAACTGTTCCTCTGGCTCTGGTGCACCCCACTACAACTCGCTGTCCTACGAATAACACCTGCCTATTTTACATCTCGACAACAGCTTTCCTTATTTATTGAAAGGCTTGGGATTCTTGGAGGACATTTCCATTTTTCTCCACTGTTTCTGGCGGTCGCGCTGCAGCAAATTGGTCTCCAGCTGCACCTTTTCTCCTCAGTTTTGGCTGGAGGGAGCCTGTCTTGCTTGCTGGGTGATCAAAAATCATCCCACGAAGCTGTTCCCGCTCCTGCAACGAGCGGTTGGGAGATGCAGTGTGGGAACAGTGCCTCGCTCAGCAGTGATGTGACGGCACGTGGGGGCAACGCCGTGTTCGCCTGCAGTGCCTCATACAGCACTGGCACCTCTCTGGGGTTAGTGGCCACTGTGAAACAGTGCTGCACCCCTTCACCTCTGCTTTTGGTGATGCAAGGGACAGCTTGCACTGGTCGATGTCAAGAGGAGATCAAGATGAAGCATGAGAAGTTTGTTATTCTGCGTGGAGTGCAACAAGGCTGCTGTTGAGCTGGAGAGCTGCTCAAGGTCATCGTGAGAAGGGGAGAGGAGATGCTTACACAAGGCAGATACCAGTTTTTGCTGGGCTAACAAACATTATCAGATGTGTTAAAAAGCAGAGTTGCTCTTCAACAGAGTCCTTTTTTAACTGTCAGCCTAGTATCAGCTGCAAAGACAGTATTCTGAGTTTCTGTGCCCCTGCTTTTCTTAAGATGTCGTATTCAGAAACCTCCTGGAAAGAGGATGGCGACTGCCTCACAGCCAGGTTTGAGCCATATCCTGGGTGAGTCACAGAATCATGGAATCTTTGAGGTTGGAAAGGACCTCTAAGATCGAGTCCCCAGGTAGTTGGCTGCATTTATTAATCTGTCCCCTTTTCACTCATATTGAAGGGAATACCAACATCTAGTTAGAAAATGAGAAATACCCGTGGCATGAAAGATCTAACATTATTAGCACTGTTCAACATATATTTAAACAAAATAGAATTGTAGAACGTCCTAAGTCAGAAGGGACCCACAAGGATCAGCAAAGTCCAGCTCCTGGCTCTGCACAGGACGGCCCCAAGAAGCAGTAAATTCTACCACCCACAAGACAGTGTAAAGTCAAATTTGGTTAAAACTCTGTGGATTTGTTCACCATATCCTATGTGTGTACCTTTATATACATGTTAGCTTTTCCCATAATTTGAAAGCTTTTACTAAAATAAGCTTTAAAACAGCTCAAATGGCTCCTTGAATAGTTGTCTTAAAATTCTTGAGTCCAAGTTCCCTGGCCTTGATCACCTAAGTACATCTTATGGAATCACAGGATATCCTGAGTTGGAAGGGGTCTGCAAGGATCATCGAAGTCCAGCTGGCCCTGCACAGGACCACCCCAAGTTGCCACGTTTTGCTACTTTTTCATGATCTTTAGTTCTTAGGAAGTCCATGGATTAGACTTCCCCAAATGCTCAGTGAAACAGCAATATTTCCATCCCGTGCAGTCTGCTGTCAAGTTCTCTTTTCCCAAGAAAAGCAGGAATGAAACCTCCTGTTGTCCTCCCCTCTGCTGGCCAAAGCTTTCTCCTTTTGCAATATGAGCTGCTGTCTGACACCAAATAGGATAATATTTAATCCGACGGACATCGTATGGTTTTACAAAGTGCTGTAGCATAATTGGAAAAAGAAGGACTGGTTCAGGATTACAGCAAGACAACTCAGCCAAAATGTAAACTGAACACGCTGCAGAGCACTATGGGACCTGCTTATGCTCCACAACACTATTTATGATCTTTAGCTGATTCAAAATAGCTGACAGGATAAAAGACGAGCCTGTCTCTGTTAGTTTGCAATTAGGGACTCGGCTCACAAGCATCCGTTTTCCAGGAGAGATCTCTGCTGGTGATTGTGTGCCTCATGTTTTCCTCAGAGCCAGGGCTGGGAAAGGGCTGCTAACATGATAAAAGAAATGGAGCTCGTGTGTGTTTGGAGGGGAGATGAGGAAAGCCTGACTTAATTAAATTAGCCAAATGAAAGCTGAGGAAGATAGCTGCCTATAAATACACTGGCGGAAGATGGGGAGGGGAGAGCATCAGCCAAGGAGAACTATTTATGCCCGAGGATAGTGTTGGCACAAGAATAAATGTACGTAAACTGGCCCAGAATAAATTCAGCCTGGAAACTGGAAGATCGTTTGTGACAATTAGAGAGCGATCGGGCTACGGACCAACCTTCCTGTGGGAATAGAGGGGGATAAAACCCTTCCTGCTTTTAGCAGGAGCTTGCAGGAGGGCCGGATCCAATGACCCAGGGATGCCATGCAGCCCAATGCTCATTCTTCTTCCCTTATTTTCCTATGATTTCTGCCTCAGCCTCATATTTATGCCAATTCTCATCACGTCCCACCCTCCTTCCTGTCGCCTGATATGTATCTCAGTTGCTGGCTTCGCTCCCTTCTGATGCAGGTGGCTTTCTTCTAACAGTAATAACTTCCCCACATGGTCAGGAGCCTGCAGGATTCTTAGTGCTTTTGAAATTTTTGTTTTTTAAATCTCTGTGCCCAATCCCTCTTTGTCTGTTTGTCCTTCTTGCACGGAGGAGGCCAGACGGGGGCAGATGGTGTCCTCCAACCAAGGTGTCTCTGCCAGACCCCACACAGGTAAGAGAGTCCTTGGAGTGTTGGATTCTGATATTTCCTGCTTGGGTTAAACGGGCACAAAATGGTAATCAGAGCCTGTTTCCAGCCCTGGCACAATATGGCCCTGAAAATAACTTTTCCCACTGATGGAGAAGGGCTTTGGGGAATTCCAAAGTATCGGGAGCCGTGGATGCTGAGCAGCCTCGGGAGGCTGATGGCAGTAGTTTGCAGTCTGAGCTCTGGGAGATATCCCATTTGCACAGCTCTTTCTAGGGCTGGGAAACAAGAGATGCTTTGTAACAACCTCACTGGCTCTTTGTGTGCCTTTGCTGGTGTTTCCCTCACACTGGTGCGAAGGGGATGGGGCAGTGAGGTCGCTGAGCTCACCTTGTCTACAGGAATGTCTCCAGGAGGGCACCAGTGATGCTTTTGGCTCATGAGATTGGATGTTTCTGTTTGGTTTAGGTGCAGCAATGGTGCAGTGTTTAAGTTGACTTTTTGCTAAAAGCATGGGCAGTGGATGGATGGGAGTGGGTGTGAGGAAGAAAAGTGATTTCTCTGCTTGCAGGTTGTACCCATTCCACTAGGCTGGAGCTTTTCTTCATTTATTACCATAATAACTAGGAAATGCACCTTGAAACTTCCCAAAAGGCTTGGAGGCCTTGTAAGAAGGCTAAGACTAAATTCCTCCTGCAACCGAATCATAATGTTGAATCTAAGAAAAAAAGGAAAATTAAAAACCTTTGTTGGGTATTATGTCAGCTTTCTGGATTATCTAAAGAGATCTTTTCAGCAAGGTAGTTGAAATACTGGGTTTTCAGGGGAATTAAATGCCTGCCTGTGTGTGTTTTGGGCACCTAATTCCTCTAAGGCCTTTAAAAACTCTTGTGTTCATTCATATTCCCTGACTGTCACTGCTTAACCAGCCTGAGCCTTATACGTGCTCCATCAGATATTCCAACAATTCCTCTTGATGAGGGAGCAAAGCTGGGTGCCAACGCTCCCATTCTGCATGCACACAGCTCTGGCAAGGGACTAGCAAGTGCATCTGTTTGAACTTTACACCGCCTTCGTTTAATTTCAATTATATATTTAGTTATCGGGATCAATCTTATCACATGGGGAAGCTGGGAGGGTGGGGGGATGTAGAAGTTCAAGGCAGCCAAAATAAAACCCCTTTGCTGTGATGCTTCTCCTCGTTTCCTAATCTGCTGCCTTAAAAACGTGCATTTCTAACCCCCTTAACGCCCATCTTCTGTAAAACTCTACTCCCCTTCCCTGTCATTATTGCAGGTTTTAGATTCATTCTTATCAGCTCTTTTTTTCATACAGCGAAGTAGAGTAGATATGGGATCAGAATGCATTAAAAAAAATAATCCTAAACAATACAACCAACCAAACTAATTTAGTAAGCAACAGTTTGCACACATCAAGGTTTTTTATTCTCTTCATGCTTTGACATATAATTGGGATGCAGGTAAATTTGAATAAATCATTCACGGAAGGATAAAAATGAGGAATTTCTCAGCAGAGTGGGAATTCTCTGCGCTGTGCTGGGCTTCCCTCCATGCTGGGGGGCAACCCCAGGTGCTCAGACCGCATGGATGGGGCACTAAGGAAGGACTGTGGGGGTCCCCAGCTGAGAGAAGCCAGCTCTGCAGAACACTCGGTTTGGATTGTGGTTTCCCTGGCACCCTCAGGGAGGGATCTGGGCTGTGAGCTCCTGAGCTGTGTGGTGCTCCCTGGGGCAAATCTCAGCAGTGGGGTGAGTGATATCATGGGCACAGCACGGGGTGGGACTGTTCAAACTCCTCTTTGACGGGGCAAGACTTTAACGGGGGTGAATTGGTAAGAATTTAAATTGCAGAACTTCTGCTTGCTCCTTCCAGCCCCTCACCACCTCTGTGAACCCATAGGATATGGCCCCAAGGTGGATTTATTGTTGTCAGAATTATACTTCTTCTGATCCCAGCCAGGTCAAACCTTATTAAGTCAAGTATGAGGCAGTTGGGCTGTGTCTTGTTCTCCCCCCAAAAAGCCCTTTGTCTCGTGCACCTGTAGAATGACTTCAAAGTGCTGCATATCCCGTTTTTTTTCCTCAATTCCTGCCTTTGTTGATTTGTGTTCTAAAGCAGCAAAAGGCATATTGAGATTCTCACACCTTCTCTTTATTTATTTAGCTTTACCTTGGCTCTGCTCAGTCAGGGTGCCTCAGCATTAAGATTTCACCAGCCAAGCCCTGCTGTGAGCGTTTCCCCTGGGTGCAGGTGGAGAGCAGATATTCTGCGGTAACTCAAACCCAAAGGCAACGCTGTGCTCACCTCCCGCTGCTCTCCCATGTGTGGGCAGTCCAGTTCTCATCTCCTCTTCCCACTGTCATTGTCCTAATGCATTGCTTCCAAGACTGTTTTGGGGGGGAACATGTTTGATGAGGTGGAAAACCAGGCTGAATTCCTTGCTGGAGCTGCCTTCCTTCATGCCTCTCTGGTGCATCTATCTGGCAGCATGAAGGAAAATGTCATTAATTTTCAGCCTAATCCCTCTTGAAGTGTTGAGCTTCTTCTCCTTGTGGCCAGCAGCAGTCTAGGAGATACCAAGACAGCTTAGGTGTTGGTCAGGGCTGTGGGCAGTGGTCACCCCGACTGGTGGGTGCCGTTTGCCCGGGAGGTGCCAGTTCACTCTGGGACCCAACTTGTGAGGCTTTTTGCTGTTGTCTTTATCCCATTCCAAGGGCAAGGCTCTGTCTCCAGGTCTCCCTGCTCAGTAACAGTTATGGACTCTCATCCATGGCCTTGAGATGAAGCAGTCCCTGTGTGCCAGTGCTGCCAGCCCTTCATCCCCCCCAGGCTGTGTGGGGACAGAGCAGGCAGTGGGAAGCCCTGGGGCTGGCACTGGCTGCTGCTCCACAGGTGAGAGGGGAAAGAGAGGAAGAGGATGGAGGGATTGCAGCTGGAGTTCACCCTTGGTACACTCAGGTGTTTATCAGCAACCCTTTCAAACCTCTACTGCTGCCGGTGCTGTGCTGGCAGAGGGGCCACTCCCGTCCCTCCTGCAGTCATCCCTGTGACCCGCTGCCGTGGCATGCTTCCAGGAAAGTCATCAGGTCCTAAAAATAACTGGGGAATAGCTGATGGTGTGGCTTCTCTCTGCATGCTAGTGGAATTAGCCAGGAGGCTGACTGCAGCCAGGACTGCTGCTGCCTGCGGTCAGCTGCTCCCAGTCCTGCTGGTCTCCTCAGCAGGACTTGGAGGTCACGGTGCCTTGGCGTTGCTCCACAGCTTCACTGCCACGTTTGCTGGGCTGTCAGAGGTGGTTTTTCATCTCTGCTGTGAAACCAGGCATTGACAGGGAAGTCAGCTCGTCCGGCACTGGTTGTGTTTAGTGCCTTTTGCAAGTGCGGTGTCAAGTCTTTGGCACAGCTTTGTTTGGGTCTCCCGATGAGTAGAGGTTATGGGTGTATCTTCACAACACGGAGACTGAAGTCTTCCAGCTCTGTCTCACCCTCGAGTGGGAGTGAGGAGCTGGTGTTAGGAGTATCTTTAGTCTAAAGCACAGCCAGAGGGTGCCAACACCCTTAAATTTCTCCTACAGGAGAAAATACAGACTTCTGGAGTGCCCGACAGGAGAGGGAAAACCAAGAGCTTGCTGTGTGTGCTGCAGTGGCCTTCTGTCCATCTTGTGACCAGAGAATTGGGCTTGCCAACTGCTTTGCTACATTTCTCCCTTTATTTGTTGCTTGTTATCATTCAGGGCTTTGCTCTCTTCACTGGCTTTTCCTGATAGACGATGCAAAGCCAAGTGACACTGGTCTCCAAGGAGGATGGGCGAGCTGATGTGGACCTTATCAATTCGGCTGGACTTCTTTGGTGAGGTGTGGAGGTCACAGCTGTGGATCATAACCACCTAAGAGAAAGCCTCGAGTGCTCAGGGCACCCTGTGGCAGAGGGAAAAGGTGGTCTGGGCACCCTTTAGTGTTAAACAGCAGTTTTATTGTGGCCTCTGGCTGAAGGGGGCTGTGCTCCCTGACCTCATGTGCTGGTTTGTAAATAGCAAGACACTCTCCTTAGCACAGCATGTTCAGTGCTTTCATCAGTGGCCACGGTGTCTGTAACCTTGCTTGTAACAGCTCTACAATAATTGCACTCTGTCATCCATGCCAAACATATCCAGCCCTGGAAGCTAATCCTGGGGGTAGGCATCTCCATCACTGTTTGTGGAAAAGGGTTTTTTCCCGTCTCCCACTGGCACGAGGGGCTGTGTGCTCAGGGTTGCTTTGTTAGCTAAGCCCTCACCATCATCTTGGATGTGTGAAGTCCTTTGGCTGGGAATTCTGAGTGCCATGGCAGTGCAAACCAGGTCCAAGGGCTGGTCAAACGCTGCAGCTGGGATGGAGATTTGAGTGTGTTCAAGCTCTGCTTTTCCGCTCTGGACTTACCTCTGCTTTTAATTCCGCTGCTGTATTTACAACTCTTGCCCTCTAATTATAGGTGATATGTTTCTCAGCTTTCCTTTCTAGGAAATGTGTCTGCATGTGTGATCAGAGCTGTGCCTCCTCCGTGCCCGCCTCCTTTAGGAAGCGGGATGTGATTCCTTTGCCTTTTCCCTCCTCCTGCAGCTGCAGCCGTCATGAAGTGAGGAGTTCACAGAGGGGACAGCAACCAGGATTCAAGAAGAGATTGGGGTCTACTGTCCTCTCTAACTGCAGTTGCCTCTTTTCTTATTTATAAGTGCAAGCAAACAGGTGCTAAAAGCTTTTTTCCTCCGTCCTTCTCCTTGCATGGCACAGACAGACTCTCTCCTGAGATGTCTCCTTGTGATGTGCTCTCTCTCCAAAGCTGCTTCTGCATTTCTTGGCACCTCTGCAAGTACTTGATTTATCTACTTATCTTCCCATGTCCCCTTCCTCATTACAACAGGGGTTTGGGGCTTGGAAGGAATGAGTGGAATCACCTTCAAGCTCTCTGCAGGTGATGTGGGGATTGGAGATTTCCCTACCCACTTTGGATATCCTTTTTATCCCCACAGGGTGCTATCTGGCATCCGTGTCCAGAGTCACATTTTGTGGATTCATTTAAGCATAATCCTTCATAAAGTTACTACCTGTGAATCTCTCCTTCAGTGGTCTTAGTTTGCTCTCTCAATCCAGTCGTGGATCCTCCAGGCATCAATTTGCCCTCAGAAGGGCACTGCTTTGGAAACAGGTTTGTGTATATCTTTCACATGGTGTGTGATTCCTTAAACTTTCAGCTCCAGAATAACACATAAAGCTTCATAAATTCCTTCAGCTGCTAATTCTGGCCGTTCTTGGAGCACTTTTAACCAGACAGCTTCTAGATGTGCTCTCTGGAAATGTCTACTTTGTGGTAAAGCAAAACCTCATCACTGATGCTGTCACTGGAGAAAAATGTATTCATTATTATTACTATTACTATTATTTTTAGGAAAGATGCAATCTCACCTCATGCATAAAATTAGTTTAATGGAACAGCAGGAATGGGAGGGAATATTGGCTTTCCTATGCTTGTTTGTGGAGTGAGTGAACAATTTCTTTGCTCCCTCTCAGGCCCTGAATGAATGATATGTCATTGAAGCCACATTTTTAGCTGAGGCGTGTCCATGAAGACAGCAGGGAAGCAAAAATTAGGTTTTAAAAACTGTTTAAATGAAGGAAAAGAAATTTGTGAGCTTCTAAACACAGTCCTCAAGAAGCCAGTAAGGCTGAGAGTCGAGAATGACTTGGGGAGGGAGAGAGAGGGTGACAGTGGGGCAGCAAATGGGTTTGTGTCTTGTAAAGTGGAGGGGCTAATTCCATCTGAAGTGGAGGGGGTGAGTGGCACCACACCAGTAGTGTTGGGACCCCAGACACTGTGTGTTCCATGGTTTTCCCATGCCTCTCTTGGGCTCATCCCTGCTGCTTTTAGCTGTCCCAATGAGTATAGGCATCAGGCACTGTGTAGGTAGCGCTGTCAAAGTGCACTTTGTGCTTGCCTGGCCCCCAGAAAACTTCTTCTTTCACTTCACTCTCTGGGAATTGGAAAGGAGAGCTGAGGATAAAAGTGATAATGTCATCTCAGGGCATCCAAACGGCGGTGATGTGCTGCCTGAGCTCTCGTGCCCTCCAGCAGTCCCACACGGCTTTGTCCTTTGGCTTATTTCCCCTTGGAACTCCAGGTTATCTTGGGGAGGTTTTTTTCACTGAAAAGTGAACTTTGATGAATGTCTCCCTCTCTTGTGGAAGCAGTAGCTTTGTGAAAACTCCAAACCAGAAACTCTTCCTTCTTCAGCAGGCAGAGGATCGTCCCTCTTTGTTTGGAGGAACATCTTGATCAAAAAGCTGAGCTTGGTCATGACTATTGCACTCATTGCAGCTTCTGGCCCTGGGATTTAGGTGGGACCAAGACAAGCTAAGCTCTTCCCTCAAGAAGATGAGAAAAGGAGAGGTGCCTTTTCTGGAGGGAAAGCTCCTCCTCGTGAGCTCCATTGTCTTTTCAAGCTTTGGTGAAAGGGGTCCACTAAAATTAGTGGTTCTCTGGGTGAGAAAGACCAAAGGATGGGCTGGGGGAGGGAAAAAAACTGTGAGAAGGAGGCAATTGCAGGCAAACTCATTTAATTTCCATCAATAGCCGTGAGTCAAGCTTGGGGTTCTGCATGTTTCCCAATTCCTTCCTTCCCTTGCAGTTTGTATGAGGGGGTTGCACTTTTCCTCCCCTCCTCTTCTCTTCCCTCTTGGGTTGCAGGAGATAGACACTTTTTAAAATGCAAGGT